TTTTGAAATTATTTTTTAAAAATCGATAAAATTTTAACACTTTCAAACGTCTCTCAAATCGTATATATAAATAAATTCTACGTCGAAAATTTCCATTTCGGGAAATTCTATCGAAACAAAGAGAGAGAAAATATGATCGAGTAATAGCAGGCACGAACGAAATTAAAAAAAAAAAAAAAATAACACTTATTATTGTTGTTCCCAATCAGAGAATAAAGCAATCCATCGATTATCGCGAATACCTTTGGGCAGATAATAATTAAATGCACACAAATAACATCGAACGTTATAAATCAAAAGTTTCAGCACTGGTAATATAACGCGAGTGTACACAAAAAAGAGTTTGCAATCTGAAATCTAGTTTCGTGGAAAGTTCTGATGCAACGATAACGATACAATAATAAAGACGCGCGAAATATCAAACGACGCAGTCAAATTATCCAAGATTATCTGTATGCACGCATTTCATCACGGTTTGAAAATAAAAAAAAAAAAGAAAAAAATTAACTTTAAAAATAAGATAGATCTATCGAAACCTGTCAAAACGACGACAGATATGTAATTTTTTTTTTTTTTAAACGTGAAAATGTTCTCGACAAAATTAGAATGCCTTATTCCAACAGGCCGGTAATTGCAGCCGTTAAGTTTGCCATTTTAATTGAAGGAACGATAGAATGTCATCAGCATTAGCCGTCGTCTCGGCCGTGGAACAATACGGTGATTCAGGACGGGCTCTGAATCGAGAGCGGGAAGCTTAAAAACGCAGCGCGGCGTAACGCAATACGAACAAGATTTGTCCTCGTGCGTTTGAAAGGGACTGCACGGACTGCGTTGTGCCATGTCCTTCGTCGTATTCGTTGAAATTTGCGCAACCGTTGCTGGAACTCTGTTGCTGACAGCGCGTGCAAAGAGCACGTGCGGAAATAAATCGTATCTCCGCAGAAATTCTTCTTACACATGCTTCTCGTTTCCCTCTTTCTTCTTTCTATTTTTTTTCCTTTTACGAAAAATTAATCGAGGATGACTTTTAAAAATTATCGATCAGCGCATCTTTTCCATAATTATCTCGCGGAAAAAAATTAATGAGACAGCGGAGAGAGGCCCGCCCGTAAATATTTCTTCCAATTTTTTGACTCTGGTAAATTCGAACGCGACAAGTCTCGAATATCGTCGACTTGCATCTATTTTCGACAACTACTCGATGAAAAAATTAGGATCAGATATTCTTTTAACACTTTCGTTAGTAAATTACGGCTACCATTCTTTTTTTTTTATCCGTCCGTCATAGATTTTCTCACAGAATTCTAAAATCCCTTAAATCCCTTGCGTACCTCTCTATTCGATCTGGCTAAAAAAAAAAAAAATTTCGAACGCGATATCTAAGATCGCAGTTCACGCAACGAATTTTTTAACTCTCCGTTTTCGAATCGAAAGAGGATTACGAACATTCCTTCCCTATAAATTCCATTCTCTCGTCACATCCCAGTTCCACCGTTCCACGATTTAATTGCCATCTCGGTTCATAGTCCGGCTTATATTGCGGAATGTCGGTTCGAGTTTCATGAATGAAGAAATTTCTCCTATTTCCCGGGTGAATGCAACAAGTGGCGATGCGCGCGGTCTTTTATCTCCTCTGCTCCATCGTGCTGGCCCAGTTTCCTTCCTCGAGCATAAATCTATCACACGTGGCTACATCTACCGCCTCGGTGACAGACAAACTCATAACGAGTCTCTTTCTTCTTCGAGGAGGAGGAGGAATCGCGATCGAAAAAAATTCTTCCCCTTCCTTTTCTTTCCTTCCTCTCGTTCCTTCGCTCCCCCCCCCTCCCCCCCCTCTTCCGCGTTTACGACGAATAACGCCAGCGATCTCTGATTTTTATCGTGCTAATATTCCTATCGCCTCGAGTGTTTTTTCTCCTCCTCGGGAAAACGACGATTCACAAGCTGTCGAGTGTGTTAACTCGATCGAAAAGGATTCGATTATTTATTATCGTTGTAAAAATTAAAACGATAAACGTAGGGAATTCGTTCTCTATGATTCTTTAATTGAATTATGACCTCATCGCGCTTACTATGTCCACGATTATTACACGCGATTTAATTTGTTTTCCTCCCGATTTATCGCGTTTAATTGCTTGCCTTCTTTCCTTTTTTTTTTTTTTTTCTTTTCGAAAGTTTTTTGACCGATATTCTTTGTCCGCATTTCTGACAATTATTTTGTGTATATCATGAGAGTGTACAGAGTGTTCAATCGAGTATGAACTTTTCATTAGTTTCCCTTGTTCTCGTTTCTCCTCTAATTTTATTTAACGTTGCAATTGTTTGATATTCTTTTGTTTTGTCTCGTTTCGTTAGAGCAACTTGAATTTGTTTGTTAATTGAAAGTAAAAAAAATTTATATTTAATTTTCATTAAGAAAATTCGAATCCTTTCGTTCCATTCCATCGTGCAATTTTTCCTTTCATCCCTTTATAAACTTCAACGATTGACCGACTCAACCGTTTATTGGCCCTTCAACCGTTCAACGATGTAATTTCGTATCGCGTCCAACGATTAAACTTATAGAAACAAGAAAGATCGTGTTGCCTATACGCAGCTTTCAAGAACTTTAATTATACCTTCAAGAACGTTGGATCCCTGACAGGATCGGTTTATATAAATACAGGCTTTGGTGCGGCCACAATGTCGACAAGAGATATTCACCTCAAGTGGCATAACTCGGGAACCGATGTTATTTCTATATCGACGATTTATAAGCGTGTGCCGAAAGCAGTCGTACGTCTATACTCGTATATTAAACGTCGGCGGATGTACAGTTCCCGTAGCCAAAGGCGCTATTATTTCGTCACATCGTGGTTGGCACAAACGTTGCCATTTTGTATACAAGTTATCGCGCGATTTCAACCGTCCCACAATGTGTATTAATCGCATGCAACGTGTTGCGTTTGACACGCGTGTATATGGGCTACGAGTTCGAGAATTTTTTCGAGACGACGGGAGAAATAGACGAGCAAAAACGGCGAATAGAATTTTCCGAAGCAACGGTGTAACTCCGCTTGAATTCTTCTGAAAACGAGAGATTCTACGAGGAAACAAAAGCTGTTTTGTCATAGATAATTGTAACTTGTTGGAACAAAGTCTTGCGGAAAATCAATTTCAATGGAAAATTGTAATTTCAAATAATCGTGCTTGGTAATTGATTTTACGAAAGGAACTTTTAATAGGTGTGAAATTAATTGTCTGTAATTAAATTGTGCAATTATTCTTTTCGGAGAATTGAAATGACAATCTTAACATTCAATTTTCTAACTTCTTAAATTTTTTTCTTTTCTTTTTATATCGCGCAATCAAGATAATCTAAAGTTTAATATCGAGATTTTAAAATTTCTCAATTTTACGCGCTCCTACTGCTTTCTCATTCGATTTCGAACGTGTGTACGATCGATTCCCCCCCCCCCCTTTCTTTGAATTAAAATTACGTTCAATATTATTTTTTCCCTTCCGAGTAATGGAACGAAAGAAACAAATCACCTACATTCATAAATATAAATCATTGAATATCGTCGGTATACCAATTAATTCAACCATCCCGAGTCATCGTCGGAAATAATTTCTAGTCCGATGCTCGACTTAATTGAAAGTCGCGACGACACCGAGACATCGATCTTCCGAAGACGATTTCGCTATAGCCAACTTTATTACGCAACCAACGAGAGCTCCTCTCTCGAACAACAGGCGAATCTATCGATGGCCGAGGGATCTGCGTGTGGCTCCGTGCCTCGTATCGATCCCCATCGAGAACCAGTTTAGGATCGGACGAGCGAAAAGAGAAAAGGAAAAAACAGGGAGCCGGCTAGTCAAAACCAGCCGCACAACCACCGGGCATTGTAAAAGTTTGGTCGTAAAAATAGCAAGGAGCATAATTTTGGGGTTCAGAAAAAATTCTTTCCAAAATAAGGGACCGAGAAGAGAAGAGAAGAGAAGACTGGTTTGGTTGGATATTATAGAAATATGCTTCAGACAAGTGCTCACGAAATAAATTTTAGATAAAATTTTTGCATTCGATTTTCGCGAGTGTAATTTATAAATAAACGAGGAAGATTTTTTTTTTGTTTAAAATTTTGAAATATTAAGAGGGAGAAAATCGAGCCGCGTTTCATTGAGCATCGTCAAATATTGCATAAAAGATCGTGTTATAACTCGAACGGACGTGTTGTAAGTCGATCTTTTATTGATTGCGACGAACCATATGGCTATAGGTTTCAGAGTATCGCCGTTTCCGTGGTTGACGTAGACACACCGGCAAACATCGATCTACTCGATGGAAGTCGATCGATATTTATCTGTCTGGTAAATTATGAAGCTCTACTTTAAGTTTACCATCAGTTTAAATCTCTTACAAGTCCTCACGGAAAAATTATTAATTTATTTCGTCTATCGAAAATTTTCAAATTATCCACGATGTTTTAGCGAAGGCAAAAATTAAGCAAAAATTGCGACTTTGTATGTATTTCCTGCATTTTCAATTCTTCACTCTCGTTCAACAAATATTTTCAAGTTTCAAATGATTTCGAAAAAAATTCAAATAGAAAATAAATCTTGTTTCAAAACTAATTTCCATACATCGATTTGCATTTTTTTTATTTTGAACCGGCTAAAGAAAACTTTCACGACCATTACATTATGCTAAAACGTTTTGCACAATGATGTTTGAATTAATTCGAGGAATTTAATTCAAACAACGTGAGACAACGTCCGCTGCGATAGTCGACGTAGAATTTTTGCTTTGAGCTAGGTCGTGAGATGTGACACGCGTTAAAGGACGATCTCCGCGACTCGAATGCTAAACGTTTGTGAGTAATAAACATGAGTTATCGCTCGAACGATTGCGTGGGGTTACATTCCATGTGTTCACGTACGGACAACTGTGGAATGTGATCATACACGTATCGCGTACGTGTGTATATACGATTAAAATGTGAAAAGAAGAATGCACTCACCCTCGGGTCTCAGTCTGTCGGCAATAAGGCAGTACGGGGGTGGTGGCGACTCTGAAATGAGAAAAACGAACGATAGATTAATTTCTTTCGAGATTATTATTAATCAATAAATTATTTGTTCACCACAAATTGCATTATTTCTTTTCCCCTACAAAAGTTTGATCAATACGTTCTATTTAAATTTAACAAAGATTTGCTTGTTAAGTGGATATAACAATACGAGGATATAAGGACAAAAAAATATATTGTCAACATAAAACTTAATGAAAATGCTCGTCAGATAAGAAATTTTACCTAAGGAGGACAGAATACATGCACATATCGTAAAACGTTAAAAGCAGTAAATTACGCATGGCGGTCACGCAACTGACAATTATTACGAAGCATATCGAGTGGTCTTTACCGCAAGAATGGCATTAAACGAAAGAAAAAAGGAAAAAAAAGAAATATCTTTCAGAAAATTATTTCCCAATTTACACGACAACCCTTAAAAATTAGAAATAAAAAAAAACAAAAAAGTTTGATAAAAATACTTGGCTCTCCCGTATATATCCCGTATATCCCGTATAAACGAATGAAGATAAAATAATATTAACATCCACCGAGAATCATTGTTCGTTTCGCAATGAGCGGCGGTTGAAAAACGGCGAGGATCGTTAAAAGCGAACGAACACATTCATTAAAGGCGCCAGACCTCGATCGATCTATTTTCGTGGGAATCTCGTTACGCGCTCCGCGTCCCGATTCCCGCTTTAATCCAAAACGGATTCCCGCGAGGCGGCGACGGCCTCGCCGCGTCTCCGCCGCGAGGAAAATTAGAAACCGACTCAAGGCTCCGATTAAAGCGCGGGATTAATGGGAAACGAGAGGCCTGGCGCCCGTTAGAACACTCCAAAAGCGGACGATTCTATTATTGGATTGGACACGAAAACCGGTACCACGTTTTTCCTCCTTTTACGTATTATCATCTCTACCGTGCTCGCTCCGCAGCAAAATTGCACGCCCGTCAAGGTAACCGTGGCGTACATTACACATGGCGCCTCTACCGGATCGAGATGCCATCGACGCGACGCGCAGTCGCGTCTGCCCCAACGGATTCTCAAGGAACGCGTTCGAATCTGCAATACGATTAGGCGAACGCAAGGCCGTCCAATACTGGGTTAACGAGTCCTTTCCTTCCAAACCATCCAAGCCGTATTAATTATATACTCGGTTTCTACACGGAGAGAGGACTTTTGTTTGTGAGGATGGATTACTGTTGATCACTCGGTTAATTGTGCGTGCATTGGAAAACGTTGAGTGGATGTATTAATAGATCGAAGATACGATGGACTCCTCGCGTATGGTGCGTTATATACGTGTTGTATGAATTCGCTGTTATAGGAAATCGGTATATAGCGCATTATTCGAAAAAATTGCATTATACGCGATATCTTTGGCGCGTTTTTAGAAATTTTTAGCGCGTTATTATTATATTATATTATATTATATAGTATTTTGATTAATTTTGTAATAGATAATACAATTTGTTCGCAAACAAAGTGTCATCATGGTACGAAATGTTGATTGTAAATAAAGGAATAAGTAAGGGACATCTTGTTATTTTTTTTTTTTTATCTTTCTTGCAAGAAATAACATGGAATTGTAAATGAGTATAAAGTAGTGCATGAATGACATCGTGTCGCGAGATATCTTGTCCAATGTGTCGCATAAACAACATCGTGTCGCGAGATATCTCGTCCGCGGATGCGAAGGGGTTAATCTGAATCTACTTGACATGCGAGGAAACGAATGTGAGAAAGATAATGGGTAATAAAAGAAGGAAAGAGAATATAGTGGGGATATTTGCAATCAATGTCGATTGGTAATATAAGAAAATTATAAATTATAATTGTTAAAATTGAAAATAAATGTATTGCTTGGTTCGTAGAAAGAATTAGGATTGGAGGAAAATATTATTGAACGTAATAAAACGATGTTTGAATTACATATAACTTGCCAAATAGATACTAAAGTTTGTTGTATGTTCTATTTACACTCCCAAATTAGAGAACTAAATTTGAGATTTATATCATAGGTAAATGGAATTCGATCTGTGCATTTGTAACAAACAGTGAAATATATTTAACGCCAAAAATTCCTGAACGGTAACAACCAATATGGCTGACAGAGGCGCCTACACGAATCTTCCGTCACGATTGTCCCAATCCTCAATTTCCAAACGAACAATAACAAAGATTCAACTGCTGCGATTCTATTTATACTTGAAACGAATCAACAAATTCATGAATTATTTTTATAAATTATAAAATTTACCTTCATAACTTTTTACTTTTATTTCTTGTAACTTTTTTTTTGTTCGAATAATCTTCTAACTCTCTATTATCGATCAAATTAACTTCTTGTTTTTATTTTTTATTATTTTCATTTCCAATAACGAAATTAACAAAATAAATACGATATCTACGATTTCTATCTCATAAGCATGAAATCTACCGAACCATACAGAAAAATTAAAAATTTAAAATAATATCCCGAAAGAATATTCCGAAAAAATACATATAAGTACACCATTGTCAATTACGTAAGAACAAGGACACGATCCTCAAAATAATGTCTCTAAACATTTATTTATACTTATACGAAAATGTTGGTTGTTTTTTTTTTCCATAACTTGTTTTTCTATCGCTCTCCTAATATCACGTAACACATATAAATTCGAAGGCAAAGATTCGATTTCTCTCGTACGCGGTATCGAATCGAGGCGGTGTATCAATTAAAATTAAATTTCTGACTCATTTGATTTGAAATTCTGAACCGGCGCTCCTCCACATTGCCAAAACACGATGACCTTGTTTGCCATTGCCTCGCCTTGCACGCTCGCACGAGGTATGAATGGTGTGTTAAAGCTTAAGGCGGCAATGGCCGCTACATATTTGCGCAGGTTGCGATACAAACGGTGCAGAAAACCCGAATGTCGCGTGTCGATTCGATCGTTGGTGGTGTACGAGCCCACTCTTTCTTTTTAAATCGGAGTCACGCGTCAAAATATCAAAAAAAAAAAAAAAACGAGTGTGGGCTCTGAATTTGAGAATTGAAATTATCTCGAAAGTCGCAAGCGAGCAATCCCTTGATAATAGCTGTCCAAAATCTTCACACGAGAGCAAATCTCGAGAATAAAAATTATTATCGAAAACTCATTTTCAATATAATATTCATCGCAGTGTCGAAATTTCGACGTTTTTCACGCTTGTGTCATCTTAGACGAAACGAGTGAAGAAAGTGGAAATAATGAATAATGAAAAAATGATATATAGATAAGATAAAATTGTATTGTACGATAATGAAAATTAGAATGATTATTTCTACACTATAGAATTGGATACAATAGATTTACACTATATGGATCATAGTAGATTAATAAATATGACTAATCTTTAGAAAGGAGAATTAAATAAAAAAAATAATGAATGAAAAGAAGATGAAATGATTTCTGAAAGATGAATCATACAACGTTAAAGTTGCGTATAATCGTGAAAATTATTTTCTAACTGTAAATTCCCTGCAGAGTAAAATATATAAAAAAAAAAAGGACTAAATAACAGAAATTGAAGTTAAATTAATTGGTGACAATAAGATTACATCTTGGCTAAATTTAAAAAGATGAAATTATTAAATTGCTTAATCAGGAGTTTCATACATAATGAAGACTTAAGAGTTACAATGTATGTAACGTGATATATGACTACTACTTAAGTAGCAGACTGGGATTAAAATGACCTAGACTTAGGTAGCGTAAGGTTGAAATGGCCTAGAATAACATCTAAAATAACTGTATTTTCAAACTTACATTTGTCAAAGTGATTTCCCTGAAACTATGTGACCTTTGTTTTAAATTTATCGTACAGTTATACAGTGCAAGAAAATTCAGTTTACCTATTCCCGTTAATTTTATATCTTTCAAAAATTTCGTTATATAAAAAAGTTGTTGCTTAACTTTATTTATCAGTCACAATATTTATAATATTTTTTTCAGAGAAATCTAAAAAAGATTATTTGCAAAATAAAAAAAAAAAAAAGAAGTCGTTCTTATCGATTAAATAAGGTTATCATTTTTCTTTCCTCCCAAATAATATCTCTTCCTCCATTAATTTTAATGTCATCGCGAAGAATTATAGTACGGTGCCAAAGTGTTGAAATTTTAGACACATATCTTCCACTATTAATAGAAACAGCATATTACACGTTTACATTACTTCTTAAAATCGATACCCCCAATTTTCGATAACGTACGTTAACGCGATCATCTGTTGTAAAGAAAATTATATTTTCAATATCACGAATATAAAAACTCGAAAAAAAATCTTGAAAAAAAAAAAAGCACAAAAAAATAAAGTATACGATACGATAATTATCTTCGTCTCGACGAAGAACGATTGTATCTTTTGTCGTTTGAAAATACTACGAAATAAAAAAAAAAAATAATGGAAATCGAGCAAACCGATAATGCAAACGTGATGCAAAGAGGAGAAAATTATTCTAAATACGAAATAAACTTGGGAATGATAAGAAACATAGTACAAGTGCGACAATTTGCGTAATGACGCCGTCTGGCTGATGATAATCGATTTGTCGAAGTGAATTATTAACGACGCCGCCAATATTCGAACGCTGTCGGACGCAAAAACAGATAAAGACAACAACACACACCGGTGTCTGTCCCCTTTGTGTGTCGTTGTGCGTTGCGAAAACAAGGCGCCACCGTGAATGCGATTCACCTTCGATAAATGTCGACGAACGCTATAACCGTGTTTCTCGACGACTATAAAATCCTCGATGATAATGTTTACGATAGAGTATCGTATTCAGATCCGGTGAACACGTTCACGAAATAAGGCAATATCGCCTTAAAAAAAAAAAAAATAACCCTCCCAGACATTGAACATTGATCCACGTGGCATTAATAAATAATTTAATTCCTTTGGCAAACCTGTTTTCTCATCTCGTACATATTTAAAGCATAATATTCTCAAAACCAATCCTTGAAATTA